TAAATTATATCTTATAAATCATTACATAAAATAACCTCTTCATGCTAAAGATTAATTACCTCTATTATTTAATAATTTTAATATAATTTAAATTATAAAATAAAAAATCCTTTAAACCGCCATCATTAAAAAGTACATGTATTATTGGATTCTGATGACAATAAGTTTTATAAATGTGGTTTCACACGTCATGTTTAACAACTCCAACGGTACTTAGTATTTAGTTCCCCTGGCAGTATTTAATAACAGCCTCTGCCCTCTGGAACCATTTAGGATTTCTTCAAATACTTAATGGGAAGAAAGAAAGTGGTAGTTTTTTTTGTTTTTTTTTTTAATATTTATAAGTATAAATTAAGAGTATTTTTTATTATAAAAATATATTAAAAATATAAAAATTAATATTTTTAATAATATTATTAAATAAATAAATTTAATTATATAATAATAAATTAAAAATTAATTTTTATTATTTTAATATAAATTTATAATAAAAATATATATTTAATATATTTTTAACTTATGCATTAAAAAATACATATTAGATAAATCTATTATTTATTACCATTTATAATTTAAAGGGTTGAATTTAACGAGTCTGTCCTTACTATTAGGCAAAATAAACTCTCCCCCAAAAAGTAGTAGCAGTCAATCTGTGCGCTTCTTAGGGTTAACCTAGGTATAGCTTGTTGCCATGAAGTTTTGTGTACTCATAATGTGCCGTATGTTTTTTTCACCAAAAAAAAATGTGCTGTATGTTTTGTCCTCTTTGGTTTTTCAACGGGATTTGCCCCCTTTTTTTATTTTTTGAGTTTTTAATAGAAATTCTAATAACAATTGATTAGTTTGTGTGATTCGTGTGGTGTTTAAGAGTCATTTATAATAAAAAAATATATATAAAAATAATTTTTGCCAAATTTTAAAAAGTGTGTGACCACAATAAAAAGTTTATTTTATTGATTTTTTTAATAGTAAATTATTAAGGTTAATATCTTCAAGGTTAAATTTTCATTTTGGTCCCTAAACTATTGTACGGACCCCCGATTTGGTCCCACTGTTTATAATTTGGCCTAAGTTGGTCCTTGAATTATTGTACGGACCCCCAATTTGGTCCTTACTGTTTACAATTTCGCCCCAATTTGGTCCCTAAGTTATTATTTAACAGAAGGATCAAGTTTGGGTTAAATTGGTAAACAATAGGGACCAAATTGGGTATCCGTACAATAGTTTAGGGATTAACTTGAGAGTCCGTACAATAGTTTAGGGACCAACTCAGGTCCGTACAATAGTTCAGGGATCAAAATAAGGGTTTAACTTATCTTCAAAGATTTAAAGTGAGACTGAATGCCA